AAAACGCTGGATTTCAGTTACGTATTGCTCTGCTTGGTGCAGATATTCAAAACCTGCGGTACACAAATTGATTGGGCATTTTCAAACTGGATCTTCCCGTGTAAATGCAATTACTTAGAGACAACACACAGCTATCATGACAGTATTGTGTCTCTATTTCGAACTAAAGTTTTCAGACTTAGTGCAATAGTTCTTCATTTTTTTCAAATATAATCGAATTGGAATGGTATAGCATTTGACCAGTGGTTTCTAAAACAATTTTAAGAAAATAATATAAATAATCTAATTGAAAATTTAAATTATATATAATTTGTTATTATATATGACATTATTGTATAAATATATGATAGAAATTAATAGTATAAGGAAAAAAGAAATAAATTTGGATTATGTGTAAGTCTCTACAAAAATTTATGTTTAATATTGTAAATATTATTACATAATATATTATTATAATCATTTTTAAAGTTGTTAATATTTGTATTTTAAGCTAACATGTATAATAATATCGATTAATAATTATAAATGTTATTCATTGTTCAAAATAGATTTCTTTTTCATATTTCCCAATACAGTTGTAATGCATTCTCTATAATCAATTATAAGCATACAAAAAGCACAAGAACGATTTCTCATAATTTGAGTAAATTTAGTTTACTTCTCTAATTATTTTCACATGATTAGTAAATAACTAAGGCAACAGTTCACTCTTCTAATTATTAAAATATATAAAAGTCTCACAGATATACATCTAACTTGCGAGAGTATAAAATGTTCGGTTACATCCGAACTTATCGCTTCCTTACTTTATCTTTCGCAACCTGTTGCTACAGAGTATAATAGTTTTGTTCACCTAACATTTGTTTGTATCTAAAACTAATCGAGTAGATATTAGGGTTATATATATAAATGATCAGGATGAAGAGACGAGTTGAAATCCGGGTGACTGTCTGTCCGTCGTCCGTGCAACTCTAACTTGAGTAAAAGATGAGATATATTATGAAACTTGGTAGACATGTTTCTTGGTACCGTGAGACAGTTAGGTGTTGCGGATGGGCGTAATCGGACCACTGCCACCAAATCGCAATTAATCAAAAACAATAATGGTATAACTAAGCTCCCCAATAAGATACAATACTGTTATTTGGTACACGAATCACATGGGAGGGGCTTGCAGTTAAAACTTTTTTTTAAAAGTGGGCGTGGTCCGCTCTAATATTTTTAATGTGCATATCTCCTAAACCCTGATCGCTCTATAATAAGAAAATTCTCTAGAACAAATTTGTTTAGCTCTTCTATTGACGTGTATGAAAATAGTTGAAATCGGGTGTAACTCCGCCCACTCCCCATATAACGGTACTGTTAAAACTACTAAAGCGCGATAAATCCGCACTAAACGCCAGAGACATTAAATTTATTTTTGAGATGGTATAAGATGACTTTATAGGAACCGCGTTCAAAATTAGACAGTGGGCCTGGCGACTTTAGGTGAAAACCCATATCCAGATCCGATTCACAAATTCGGTGCATAACGTTCTTTTCATGTTTCTATGTCATTGGTGCGAAAATGGGCGAAATCGTTAACAACCACGCTTACTTCCCATGTAACACCATTTCAATTCCATCGTTCTTTCACTTTCCACTATGCAAATCAGGTAACAATGATTATATCGGGGTAAAACTTTGCGTGAATAATGCAATTAAAGTATGCCACCTTGCGTAAAATTGTCTAAATCGAGACCAAAACTGTTCAAACCCTAAGTACTAATATATGGACCCCATTGCCTATAGTTATTCTACCGAAAATCAGCATCAATACAGAAATATCAAACAATTATGCCGGTGACTTTGCGAGAGTATAAAATGTTCGGTTACATCGAACTTAGCCCTCCCTTACTTGTTTCGATCAGTTTTATTATTGTGAATGGTTCAAGTGATAAAAATAAATACAAATTTAATTTTTTTATATATATATTATTCTAATTTATGAAAACAAACATAAAGGGTTACAGCAACGTTTTTTAACGCGAAAAAAAGAATTTTCCCACTAAGAAAAAATCATAACCCTATTGTGGATGCGTCAGAAGACATGTTAGCACAGGGTTTCACCAAAAGTGCTACTCGCTTGTTTCAGCATCTGGTATAATTTGTTCGCTTCGCTGGAGAGTAACACAGTAACAGTGAATCGAAGACAGCTTATGTGGTTATGAGGTAATACTTGAAGCGCATTTTTGGTTGAACGGTTACTGTAATAAATAAAATTGTCACACAAAATAACAAAATTGTCCAGAAGCCAATGTTTGGTATGCTCTATTAGCATTTCTTCAAAAGTGAAAACGGCCGCTATAGAGCCATGAATAATGATGCTATAATTAGATCTAGCATCCACGATCGTGCGATCTAACTCCGCTGGCCTATTTTATGTTAGAGAGAATATTCCGCATGTGATTGTTGACATACAGCCGCAATTGCAGCAAAAAGTAGTCGAAAATTAGACCTCTGGAATTTGTTCGCACCAGCGGCGACGGTCACTTGCCCGAAAGAATTTTTAAAACATAATTACGAACCCTTATCTTTATAATAAAGCTTAATTCTTATAGCAGTAAACTAAATGCCTTTTATTTCTTTTTGAAAACTCCATTTCTAAAAAAAAACCCTTTATTTGAAATTTAATTGTGCTGAATATGCTATATATTCCTTAATTTTAATTTTGCTGAGCAATGTAATTAATTGGTAATATGTATAATATAAGGTTTCTTATAGGTAAATATGTTGTCTGTTTACTGAGTTAAGCCATTGGACAACAGTATTCTTCAGGTTAGTTCGTAACCATGAAGAAAACAATTTTTTATTTAATTACCTTTAGTGTAACGACAGCATATACATCGCAAAATATATACGTTACTGAGTATACCTCATTTAGCGAATATAAGGTATCCGGGACTTTTACATATATTTCACATGTTAATTCTTAACATTATATTTACATATTTTAGAGTGCAGTAAACAAAAGTTATATGCACACATTTGATGAGTTTCGCAGCAAAAGAGCATTCGAGGAAAATGTTAATATAGTGCGGCAACATAATAAATTATTTGAAAAAGGTGAACGTAGTTATCGCTTACGAACTAATATTATGGCAGATATGGTAAATAAAAATTAATTTTTACAATTAAAATTTATAAAATTAGCTAAATACAAAAAGGCGTCAGCTAGACAAATCAAAGTCAAACGAAGTCAGTCCAGACCTTCACCTATTGTCATTATATCTATTATAGTGATTTTCCGGTTGACTTGTGACCGTGTCTATCGGGTCAATATTACTTGTTAGTTCAACCAAATAGCCTTTCGTGCTTAGTGTAAATAGTTAAGAAAATCTGTATAGACCTTGGTATGTAACTTTCCTTTCCGCAAAAGTGATGAAAATAACGATTTTGTTAGATAAGTTACCTTTGGACAAGAAGCAAAAGGAAAATATGGCCAAAAGTAGGAGTTAATACAATACCAAATATGATTGCAGTCAATTTAAGATTTCATGATTTAAAGAATATCATTTCATTTGGAAGATTTTTATACTGCCACAACATGTTGCAACAGAGAATATAATCGTTTTGTTCACCTAATGGTTGTCTGTAACACCTAAAACTGATCGATTTACTTGTATACATATAGTGTTATATATATATAAATGATGACAAGACGAGTTGAGTTCCGGTTACTGTCTGTCGGTCCGTCCGTCTGTACAAGTTGAGTAAAAATTTAGATATATTGATAAAACTTGGTACACGTGTTCCTTAGGGGAGGTTGTATTGCATATGGGCGGTATCGGACTATTGCTCGCCCACAAAATGCCTTTAATTGATAACATATTAAGTGCCATAGGTAGGTAGGTAGGTTGAGTGGCTGTCTAACGACGCACCTAGGCCTATGGGAGGCCCATTGTGATACCACCGGGACTACTGTTCCCTCACTCTATCGTCTCCTCTCTGAACCAACCTGTGCTTCTGATGAAGTCATCAGTAAAGTAATTTTATATTAGCAACTTCTGATACGTCGTCAAGAATCCACGACCGATAGTTGCGATTCTTTTCCTGCTAGAGCTTACCATTCGCATATGAAGAGTTTACTGTCTCCTCTTCTCTCTACTTCTTGGCAGCTTCTACTCAATAATCTTTGTAAGTACACCTAGCCTGCTGCATGTCTACCAATTAGACAGTGACCTGTTAGTACCCCAATCAAGCTCTTAATCATTCCTTTTGAATTTAATAATGTCGGTTGACGACTCTTGCTCCATTCCTGCCACGTAGATCGCTAGTGGAGCGGTTATGGATTGTCTACACCGAGACTCTGCTAATTATAGCATGTTCGTTGATTAAGTGCTTACAATTGCCAGGCATAAAAATTTCCCCTTTTCAGTTAATTGTAACCCGGCCGTTCTGGCTAGTTCATCTGTTCGCAGTTTCAGGGATATCCACTATGCCCTGGACCCACATTGCAGTATCGTGAAGTAGGATGTTAATCTTTCTAATAGAGTCAAGACATTCTTTCACTATCTTTGATGAACCATAGACGAGTATTTCCGGCCGCTTGGCTATCCGTAAAATATAATGTTCCTGTGTGTGAGCACACTTTTTGTCAATACACAAGGCTTTCTTTGATGCTTAATCTTCCGCCTGGAAGACACTGCATTGGTCTTACGTAAGGCTATTTTGGTGTCTAAGTTGCGCAAAAACACCACCTCCACTCGATTATCTATTTTGGATCCATCCGTGTAGATGCTAATCCTTTCCTGTCCACCTCGCCTTTCCCACTCCTCTGTGGAATGCAACATTGTGGACGGAATTTGCTTCAATTCTATTGGATTACAGAAATCCGTTTTGGGTAGAAACGGGAACGATCTAAGTATTCTAGAATGCCCCTTGTTGCAGCGCGACTAATTGGGAGCTCTCTGAGAGCAGACTTTTCTGCCCACTTGCTTACAGAACAGTCTTGTCAATAAATGTAGAATGACGTTTAGTGCCTGGCTAGCGTTGTCTAAACTCCTAATGCATATACTGGCTGCTCTTTGTATACTTTCCATACGCCTCACCGCGTATTTCTTCTCCATTATGCCACCATACCAATATACCGTATGTCATGATTGGTCTGACACTGACCTGCTATAGACGGCTAATATCCCCATTTGAGTGGCCCACATCCTTAAAGGTAGAGCTGCTGCTTCTTAACCCCATCCAAGTGTTTGTTCAATGAAAGCTTTCTTAATGATTATCCTAGTATCTTCTTATCTCCAATGTATATCCACCATTAGTACTTGCCTAACTACTGGGTTTATGTTTCCTGGTAAACAATACTAGCTCTGTCTTACCGCATCATTAAGTTAATCCGCACAAACAGCCCAACGTTTTATATCTCCAGGATCTTTGCATAAGGTTTGCAGATATAGGGAATTTATCTTACTGATACGCCACCTCGCAGCTAAGCCACAACATGTACCCCTTCTTCTCTAGATCCCACAGCAACGGTTCATTGTCAGGATCAGACAAGTGGGATAGCACGCCTCCTGGGTACCCTTTAGACGGATCTGCGCAATCGTTTGACGCTCCCAGCTTTGAAATTATGACCTGGCGTGGCGAGCACTGTTCAGATTATTCCTGAGAGTCAGAGTGCCCAGATCCTAGCGCACTCAGTATGCCTAGCGGATGTTATTGAAGCTCCTTCTATATCTAGAAGCGATTAAGAGTTATTCTTAACTCTAGAGATTTTCAATCTCCTCACCACAGAGCTCAGCGCTGTTTCTGTGGATTACTTAGAAAACGCATGTTGTGAACCAGCCAACTTGTCTGGTGTTGTTTCTTATATGTAATTCTATTAGCCTCCAATGTTTTTAGAAGAACGAAGAAGCAATAAGTCTGAATCCTTTTGATTGTATGCGACTTTGCCTGCCTTAGTATGTATATTACCTTGACTTCCCTCAAAGCGAAGTATATATAATTCAGTGCCCCCTAAGAATGGTACAAAGCCAATCCTTTATGTAATCGACTGCTGTAATGAGCCGAATAGACCATCTGTCCTGCGACTTGAAGGCTTAAGCCATTATTGCCCAGCGTATGTTGCTTTCGTCACTGTGTTTATAAGAGTTGAGTCTTTTCTCTCCACTGTCTGAGTATATTCAACAGTATGCTTTCAGAGCTACCTGGAAGTTATCCATTAGTAGTTCAGGACTCTACTGATACCGTCCAGCACAGTCTGGCCTCTGAAGATACCCGATACTATGCACCGATTGTGCCATTATTTTCTAATCGAGAGCTTCCGCCGTGTTCTCGTTATCATTACAAAAAGATTCCAAGAATTCTTTTTGCTCTCCTAACTTCCTTCTTGTATGACCTAAGGAGGTTGTAGTAATGATCTCAGGATGACTCGCCTTGGGATTGCTTTGCTAAGTTGAACTGCTTTCTGCATTCTTTCTGTAACTTTTTAAGTTCGAGAGACCACCAGGGTGGCCTAATTCTACCTCTACTTCGTGTTATTGGACAAGCCACTTCTAGTACTTGCCGGCAAGATTCAGTGAATTGATCAACGAGGATGTCGAGATCCTCCTTACTTTTGGGCTGAAACGGCGGAATCATAGGGATACGTTTTTCCAGCTCTTGCATGTGAACCTGCCAGTTCGTTTTCATATGATTCCTGAAGTTCATGCCTCTATCGGCTCTTTCTTCTTATGTACATTCAATATATCGATGATCCGAAAATGAATGTTCTTCGAGGACTCTCCATTGGGTTACCCTGTCAAATAGTACTTCCGACACAAGTGTGATATCCAGTACTTCTTGTCGGTTTCTTGTAATGAATGTTGGCGTACTTCCCTTATTACCCAGCAATAGCTTAGTGCCTAGTAGGTATTTGAAGAGACACTCACCTCTGTCGTTGACATCTGAGCTGCCCCAGACTGTGTGATGTGCGTTTGAGTCGCATCCAAGTATTATCATGCACTTGGATGCCTCGCTATCCCTTATTACCTCTTTTACCATCAGAGGGGGCACCAGCTCCTCCTCGTACGGCATATAGCACGACACCAGCCGATAACTGCATATGCTCGTTTCCCAGCTTACTGCTACTGTGTCGTTGTTGCTGAATGATAAAAACGTTAAGTTTTTCTTTGCCATTATGCAGGCTCTGATTTTACCTTGACTATTAGCCATAAATTAATTATAGCTCGGTGTCCTCAGTCCGCAAATACGCCCTCCATTAACCCATGGCTCCTGAATGAGGACAAATTCAGGCTGTTCTTCTGCCATGCGGTTAATTAGGGCTGCTGAAGCTAGTTTGCTGTGATGAAGATTAATTTGTAGGAGACGCATTAACTAGTGTTGTTTCTGCGTCTTCCTGAGAGTCGCTTAACAGCTCTCTCTCAGTATACAAGTTTATGAGTCTGGCAGCAAGTTCAGACTCGGAAGAACACTCACCTTGCTCTATGCTCTCTACATCGCTTGAGGACTTCACCGGATCTTCCTCTACTTCGCATGTCTCGCTTTCCGATGCTAGATGGTCTGCAGCATCGGCGTCCGACTTGTACGGTGTAATCCTCACTTTCGTGAATCCGTAGTTTATCTCCCCGCCACTTTTCGCCAGCGGTTCGATGGATTCTTTTGTTAGTAATAGCAGAATCTGCATCGTGGCCCTTTTGGTCCTCACGCCAGATTCTGCTACGCTTTCGTCAAACGCCTTGACGAACTTCCACCCCTCCGTGGGCAGACTCGGGTTGCAGGCTCTAATGAGCTGCATTATCTGATCCGGCTGTGATGGTGTAGCCGGGATCCATACCCTTGCCCTTGGTCTGGACGGTATATCTTTTTTGTCCACTGCTATTAGTTTTGCGCCCGGGTACACCTCCCCTACCTTGGCTATAGCAGCTTTGTATAGTGCGACCGATCTGTCGTCATCGCATGCAATCATTTTAATCTGGCCCTGGTACCAGCCGGCATCTGTGCATGACGGTGGCGGACCTGGATTGCTAAGTAGCACTTCCAGCGCCACATTTGTCAGCGCAGCCTGCACCCATTTCCATTGGGCTCTGGGGATTCTTCCTTCGGGGTGCCCCTCATCCAGAACGCCAATGACAATTCGGTCCCGGGCCACTTCTGCAAATGA